GGAGTGTTACGTAATTGATGGACGGCTCCATAAAGAGTTTGATATAAAAGCACCATTTGTACCTGTTCATAGCCCCCTACATAATTCTCGAATTTTGTCTATTGATAGATCACACCTGAGACCTCACTCACTATAATCTGCCAACTTCTGAGACAAGGTGCTGAGTTTGTTTCAACCCCAATTTACCTGACTTTATTTTGCCTTTTCAGGGTTTATGACCCCCACGGTGTTACATACAACCCCTACCCACCAATTGTCGATTAAAAGAACCGAAAATAGGAGAGGGGACGCTAAGTACTGATAGTTTTACTTATTATCTAATTTTTCCTTGGAACGAACCTCAATTCATATGGTTTTAAAATTCACTCCTCAATTTGCATTTATGAAGAATCCCCAAAGGAGGAAAGGTTAACTTAGAAAAGCATCAGAAGTTAAGGTTTCCACTTGTTCCGAGCAGAAATTTTGATTCTCTCTCCATAGCAAAGCATCACAAGAAAAATCACCAATTCAACATCTCACACAGGGGACTATAAACTTGAATTTAGCAGTTACTTGAAACTAGGCTAAGAATATTTCAATACACACCAAAGTATCTACTTACTGTTCACAAGGTGAAAAGTCCACAAACTGGGCACCAGGATGATGAAAACGCATGATCCTCTCCCATTCTGGTCCACCCCACAAAATAACACCAAGTTTGTGGAACGTTACCAAGTATGTTCCTAAGGGAGACCATTGCACATACGTTTCAGTCCATCCTTCTTTCTCACAAATCACTTGCGGCTGAGGTAGAGTATTATGCCAAACTTGAACAAGATTCACTGCCAGACAGAGTACCAATTACGTGTTAAAATACAAGAATTACTGATATTATTGCACGCAGCTCTGGGCTTTGTTGAAAGAGGTTCTAGAAGAAAGAGGAAAAAAAATACCTGGAACAATGAACTTGGTGAGACGACTTTAAAGGAGAAGCCAGGCATTAATTAACACCAAGGGTTTTTGTTCACTTGTGGGTTTCAATGAAAATAGCACAGCATCAGTTAGTTTCGCAGGTGGTGACAACTGATTTATTTCTTGCATTTCATTCAATCCACAACTCCTGTATGTCAGCATCCTGTGGTATAGTGGTTGTAGTGCTGGCTCTACAATCAGGAGGTCCCGGGTTCGATTCCCGGCTAGGCGACGCGAGTGTGATGGTCTCAAACAACGGTTGCCTTGGGCTGGTACATGGTAGGGACGGAGGGGGGAGGGGATCTAACTGGAAGCGCAAGGATTACTACTTGTGTGTATTTGAAGTAGTAAAAAAAAAAAAAACTCAGAACTTTTTCATTTTACAAGATCTAAGAAAATAGAGCACAGACTTTTTTCTTATTTTTTTCTTTTAAAAAAAGAGTTAAAAAACTTGTCAATCAGTTTTTTATCCAATCATAGTCCGAACAATTCACTTTGAGGACAAATTTCTACTTTTTTGAAGGAAACCCAAACAGCCCACTTACAACACATTGTCAGTATGTTCTAGAGAGTCACATACTTCATTCACTTCAATGAATTCATAGAAGGTATAATTTTCAAATCAGGATTCCTTTTTTTTGCCGCTGGTTGACTGTACATTCCGACGAAAGAGCAAAAATAATTGCTTAACAAAGAAAGATAAACAAACTTACTATCATTTCTGACAATATACTGGTCAAAGGCATCTGGATCCAAAAGCCAGTATTGGAGATTAGGGAGTGGTTTGTACGGTTCAGGCGTTGGTGGTTCCCAAGCCGGTATCTCCTCATACCTGGGAATGAATGAGTTGTTACACATTAGTATGAAAGTCAAAGACTAAGTTTGAGCAATATTGAAATGTAGGTAAAAATAAAGAGACTGACTCTTAGAACTTTAGAATAAGAATAAGAAAAAATTAATTTACAGCTAAGTTACACAGACAGGACTGTAGTGTATCTGATAAGTTGAAAAGAAGAGGCGAGCATATGTTCTTTAAATATTCAAGTAAGCATGCATTTCATGATGTGAGGTGATTACTTCACAAAATCTTTACATTAGTGATAAGTTTTGTTACCAACGAGTGGTTATTGGCTCTGAAAAAACAAGCAATTCAGAAGTATGAAGGATCAAAGAATCGTAATGAAAATCAGGTGAAAAATACTGCAATCCGAGAATCATTGGTAGCTCAGAATCATGTTCACTTCCCTCTCTCTTCCTGCCAAGTGGTTAGTTGCCTTGACAATTTTTAAAGTATGCAGTGGAATCGTCAGTGACTCTTGGATTTTGTTCATTTTCACCCAGTTACCATGGAACATCAACTTTCACTTTTCACAGCTCCTAAAATCTTTGCTTCCCAAGAAATCTCCTAAAATCCGTCCCTCTTCGGAGTGTTTGTACCTTTTCCATACAGTACACACTCAGAATTCCTAACAGGTATCAGAACATAATATGAAGTTTACAAAACAAAAAAACAACAAGAAGAAACTGCTAAAGGAACACTGAAATGAAACTGATAAAATTAAGGGAAGGAAATATCAAGCTCTTACTTCTTAAAGTCAGTGAAAGGATTCACAGCAAAGGTGTAATTCTTGTCCAATGGTGCATTGTTATAGATACTGACTGCATTTTGAGCGATGGTGGGACTGGCATATTCAAGGAAAAAATATCTGAAACACAAAATTGAAATGAAAATAAGGGAAAAAGAGAAAGAGGGGATGAGAGGGAAAGATAAAAAAAAGAGGACAAAATGCAGATAGACACAGTTGAGATCATATGTTACCATATTGTTACATGTATTGCTGAGTTCGGTGTTCAATTTATTCTCAACGCTCGCAAAAATACCAGAATCTTATGAAATCAAATTGGGAAAGCATCTAATAAGAGCAAATCGGTGATTGAGAAAGTTTCTCTAGTTGCCAAAATTTCTTGAAAATTAAACGAATACTGCATGTAAAGGGTGACAAAGTTTCATACCTAGAGGTCGATCCTTCTACTTTCCAAGGATAAAGTTTTGTTTTTTATGAAAAATTTGACCCAAGGAGATTTTGGTCTTCTGTACCATCAGTGGATTCGAATCAACTGATTTAAAACGTCAATTTCTCTCTCATAAATTGACTTTAGAAATTTCCACAAGACCTTCAATGAATTTGGTGAGACTGAGAGGCATGTTTAAAGTTCCAAACTCAAGTTTAACAAATTTTGAGTACAAGTTGCTTGTAATTAAGAGTTCCATGGGTGAAAGACAGAGAAGTCTTTGTCAATATTTAGAGTTAATTCTTGGAGAATCCTTGTAATCTGTAAAAAGCTTTAAAACTTCCACTCGAAATGCATTGTCCAGAATCAGGTTTGCTCAGAATACTCAAAGCTTGGTTTCCATGGTTAAAATCAGCCTATCATAACAGGTTATGGATGCGTCTGTTAAAGTGTTGCCAATAAAAATTAAGAGGCACCTATGAGTTAAAATCGACATAAATCGCCAGCTGAGTATCAAAAGACATTAGTTTGATCATCTGATTGCGATTAACATTGATAAAAAAGTAGCAGTGTCTCTTAATTTTGATGAGCAGCACTGAACTGTCCCATTGATGACCCATTTTTTTAGCTTTAGTTGTACTGCCGCCTCCTGGGCGAAATGTATCTACCGTTTATAGAGAGGAGAGGGATACGGTTGAAGGTAATAAAATTTGCAAAATTAAATTATAGGTATTTTACACAAGTTTAATAAGAGAAAAAATTGACTGAATTCAGTGAACAAACACACATCAAGAAAAACTTACCCCTTGGTTTTGCCATCTTCGCCTACAGGATAATACGCGCTGACAATCTGCCCTGGTTCAGAGAAGAAAGAGTTGATGACACTCTTGAACTTGTTCAACTTCTCAGGTTCAACACGAGGTCCTTTGTCAACAACTATGATGGATTCCACACCATCTGTTTCCTTGGGACGTTCAGCTAAGATGTCACCCAATAAATCTGTAAAGAGATATGGCTGCAAACTTTAAAAGGGTTCTTCAAGCACACCTGCTGTCATATACAAGTTGGGCATACATTATTAATAAAGATGGTCTCATCACCATTTCCTTCCTTTTCATATACTTACTATAACTCAACATGATGATTCCTGTAACCTCACAAACATTAAGCATCATTGTTGGCAGAACATACATTCCAAGCCACATTTCCACTGTTAAATAGGTTCCTCTCATCGAAACAAGGTTTAGCACCTTGAGTTTTGCTTATACAGTCCCTAATGCTTTCACTTTGAGATAAAAAGTCATCATGAGGGGGGGGAGGCACTTCAGAAAATCGTTCGCAATAGATCCTATAAGCAGGGCCGGATTTACCTATAGGGCACTGGGGCACTTGCCCATAGCGGCAAATTTTGAGGGGCGGCAAATTTTGGCACTGGATTAATTGAAAGTTAAAGCGAGAAAAAAGGAAAAAATGGAGACAGAGACGGAGCGAAGTGAAAAGATGAGCGGCAAAATGTATGAAGGAAGGGAGTTGACGCTTGACGGGAGCGGCAAAGCTGCCGCCCCTTAGGTCCGGCAAAGCTGCCGCCCCTTAGGTCCGGCAAAGCTGCCGCCCCTTAGGTCCGGCAAAGCTGCCGCCCCTTAGGTCCGGCAAAGCTGCCGCCCCTTAGGTCCGGCCTTGAGCGCTAAGATGATCGTTCGTTGGAGTGATACTAAACAACACGGCAATTTTAAACATCGAGGCAGACTTAATAATCAATTTAGACGTTGATGCTCTGGTTGACAGCTTTGCTAAACTGAAAACCCGGAGAAAAACTTTTTAACCTGATCTTCCGAAAATACATTGCAACTAATACATTGAGCTACACTAGCTTCAACTTTGTCTCCACATTTTATTTTTGTCTCATCCATCCATTCCATGTATATTCGCGGCGCATTTTAAAGCAGCTACGCGCACGCGCCCAGGCGGCGCACGAGGGGGGGGCAAGATGAGATGGCGTGGGAAGTTGGGAGTGCGGAGAGGGGGAGGGGGAGGAGGGGATACTGTTGACAATATAGTGGCGAAATGTTGCAGACCCAGGGGCGGCAAAAAGCTAAATCCAGCCCTGCCTATAAGTGTTCGAAACTCACCTTTGAGTTTCAGGAGCCATATGGCGCATCAAGCTCGATTTTTAGGGGCCATGGAAGATTTTTTGGGGCTAAATTCACTTCTTGCCTGTACATTGAGGCATATTCATTGAAAAGTTAGACACAAGATGTTTTAGTTACAGAACTAGTAGCTGTAACTTGGGAGAGATTTCGAAAAATCACGTAACAGAAAAATTGGGATTTTTTTTTTTGGGGGGGGGGGG